CCCCAAAACCCCAAAACCCCAAAACCCCATAATAGAAAAATTTACAATATAGAGTCAAGAGTAAAAATTAAAGAAATTAAAATTAGCTTCAAATTTTATCAGGTTAAAATAAAACTTCAAAATTTTTGATTTGCCTTCCTGGAACTCCTTGCTTCTAATGAATATTATTGATCTTTTTATATTTATCCAGTATCCTATCAATCTTGGAAATATTTGAAGTTTCCCTAAATATCTATGATCCAGGGGAGTTACTTAATGTCATCATTTACGATCTTTTCGATTACTTTGACCTTTAATTGCGCTAACTATTTCTCAGGGGAATAAAATTGTAATCTATTCTGGATTGATACTTTACTGATCCATATAACTTATCATCTCTAGGCATTTCAGCAGGCATGCTTGACCTCAATTAAGATTGATTGTGTATTTCAGGCATTATGTCAAAATCACTATCATTTACTTATCTCTGAGGAGAATTACCCTGGCTATATACATTTAGTGAGATTTATGAATTACCTGAGTCTTTTGTATAAGACTTTCTTATATTTCTTTATCTTAGCAAACTTTTATCCTGAGGTTCTAAATTATGCTAGGCTTTCTTAGCTGACCTTAACTTGATGTTGAGGCTTGATATTTCTCTTTTTAGATGCTGCAAATATGTGTTAATCTAGAGTAGGGGTATAATTTTAAGTGTTATTCTGAGGGTGATTTTATCCAAGTCTCATAAATGTTTCTCTGAACTAATTTATGTCGTCATCATTTCTTAAACTCCTCAATAAACTGTCATGATCCATCAAATCTGAGTTGCCTTACTTAAAGGGAGAAGTCATGTCTTCAAGTTATTTTTACATATTATGCTGATCTAAATTAATAGAGTCAAGCACTTCAGAGGAATCTCTTTTCCTTGAAGATCCAATTTTCTATGATTCTTGTCTTCTGCCAATAAATGGAGTAACATCTTGAACCAGTTTTGGCTTCTTAGTATTGGACTGCTACATATCCGTATATCTTTGATTCTACCTAAACTTTTGATCCCTAGGAGTTACCATCGCTGAATGACTTTGCAAACTCGAGTTTTGATTGATATCCTATTTTTCAAGATCCTTTTGATAACTTGGATTGCTCAAAGAAGATTTATCGTTGTTAATATTTATAATCAATTTATTTGCATTGATGGTAGCTTGCATCTTTGCATTTGGATTTTAATAATTTTATTGTGTACTATAATTATTGCTTGCAGCTGATCTTTATCCCTTTGATGGTTGGAATTTATTCTTATCCAATTAACTAAAACTCAATTCATGACCAAACTATAGCTAATTATATTTCTTATTAATATACTCTTACTTTAGGCATATTCTGTGAAAAATTTTATGAATTCATATTCTTAATTGAGCCCGAGGCATTGAACTCATTGTTGGAATCCATGTTAATTTCCATTTTCGAAGATTTTTAATTAAAATAATCTCTAAGAGCAATATAAATGTCAGAACAAGCACCTGAAAATAGTGGAGTCAAATACTTCTTCTGATCCATATAGGCTAGCTTCTTAATTTCCTTCTTGATGTTGAATAGCAGTCTAACGATATTTGGAATATTTTCAAATTCGCAATGCGCTTGTAAAATAAAGTATTATTTAATTTACTGATGAGTAATTTAAGGACAAACTGCATTTGCTTGGTGAGCTGGTAGAGTATGGTATTGTAATGAGTCTCTTACTCTCTCTAGGCAAAACCACTGTAAATGCTCATTTTTAATAATTTTTATTCTGATTACAAGTTATCTTAATTTCTTAAATTAATAGTAATATTCAATAACTACTCATTCATTCCTTGAATTCCTCAAGTATCAAATAATAACTTCTTTGTAAAGAGAGCTTAACAAGTAGTCTTCTGCTTCTTTTATAAATTACTCCCTCTCTTTATTATAAAACACTTTCTCAAAAATCTTTAATTCTTAAGCAAATGAGATTTCTTTTTCTGCATTTTATAACCTTATTTTGATTGATTCTTCAGTTTCAGTTTTTCTTGCAAGCAACCTTTGTCTAAGATCCTCAATATTTTTAGTCTGAATGAAAATATAGTGGCACAAAATGTCACTTTTGCTCACATCTCTGGCTCCTTTAACATCTATGTCAAGGAGACAAATTTTATTTTCTGATTAAGTTTTCAATATCTATGCCTTGTGGGTACCATAATAATTGTTGTGTACTTTATTATGCTCTAAAAACTGGCCATTCTCAATTTCCTAATAATTCAATAGTTGAAGTGATACTAAATCTTTACCTATTCAAAATGCTAATGATCATGAAAATAGTAATCCACTCCATCAACTTCTCCAGATCTAGGCTATCTTGTGGTTGATGACACACTCAACTTGAATTTATTAGAGTACTTATTTAAAAGATGATGGATAAGAGTAGATTTTCCTGCTCCTGATGGCCCAGAAATAACCAACGGTCTTAATAATTATTATGCCATGAAATATTAAATAATTTATTGAGTAATAGATATTTTGCTTTATGGGGTTTTGGGGTTTTGGGGTTTTGGGG